CGCGGGGGCCCCCCCGGGCTCCCCAAGGAGGTTCCTAGGGTGCTGCCGGTGGATATGGGTGAGGAGTCGCTAATGCAATGTCTGTGGGTCCCTAGGTCCCCGCAGCCGCGCCCTGTCGCCAGCCCCCCAACATTTGGCTCTGGGGCGACGTGGCTGCGGAGGAGAGGGAAAGAGGTACCGCTCCCACTGGAGGGCGAGGGGACTCATCACGCCTGTACTTAGTCATCGGCGCTTCCACGCAGGACCAAGTTCAAGGCACATTGTGGAATCAGACAGCAGGAAGTTTCTCTGATTTCCCTGAGCCCTCGAGATGCATCATTCATTCCTTCACACTCCTGCCTTCCATCGGAGCTTTCACCACAAAGCTCGGAGGGTTGGGGACTTCCCTCAAGCTGGTCAGGAAAGTCCATTTGCAGAGTATGGGAAACCTCCCGGTCACTCTCAGCAGTTATCTTCCCCGATCTCTTTTCACAATCCATCCGAGCTTTCACCGCAAAGCTCTGAGGGCTGGTCAGGAAAGTCCATTTGCAGAGTATGGGAAACCTCCCACCTCCCGTTCACTCTCAGCAGTTATCTTCCCCGATCTCTTTTCACAGGCATCCTCCCTACCTGGTGAGCAAATCAATCCACAGCTCTAAAAAGTTTACATCCCCCACCCCCAGCCCCGACCCCGAGCAAAATTAGAGGAGCAGTCTTTCTACTACTTCTGCAGCTCTTTGGTTCTTTTCCTCAGGGTGGGGAACAGAACAGAGAAGAATGCGAGGTTCTCCCCTCTGGGCTTTTTTTTTTCTTCCTGTTAAAAGGGGACCTGTTGTAATTCCAGCCCCCATGGTACACTTTCAGTATCCTGTGTTTGTTCTGTCTCTTTTTTCCTCTATTTAATCTGAGGCAATAAAATCCAAACGTGCAATTTGAACGAGAGAGAGAGAGAGAGACTGAAATTTTCCTTTTTCCTTTTTGTAGGGCACATAAGACAGAATGTTATGCACATCCTACTGAGGCAAAGCAGAGTGGTTGCTGATCTCTTCGAGAAGTAGTTACAAACGCTGGACACTTTCAAAGGAAAGAGAAAAAGATAAGTATACTGACATGTTTCTGTCATATTACATTCGAAGTCAATATGTGCCAAACTGTTCAATTTCGTTAGTTTTGAACCAAAAATTCTGATGTTTTTCCTAGATGGTACAGTTTTCATAACAGCAGACACTGCTATTCCACATACATTTCAGCTTTCCTTTGAAGATTATGTGAGGAGGGTAAGACCTTTACATTGTAAATATTTCAAGCTGTTCTTTTTTAACCTATTAATTACCACTTTCTAAATACGTATTTAATACGCTACAACCTAAACAAACATTTACTCTCCCCTGTGCATGCTCTGTGAAGAATGGAACACCACCTTTTTCCTCCATGGTTAATATTTCCTTCCTGGCTTGCCCATTGTAGAGTCTAATTGAAATTCACAAAGATAAAAAGCATGCCATTTAAAACCTTGCAACTAGGCCCTAGTTGCTAGGGGATCTCAGCTTCTTCTACTTGGTGTGAGCACTTCACTTGCTACTGTATTTCCTGTTTTCCATTTCTGTGAGTCAATCTTCCTTAAAATCTTTATCACTTCGCCATTTAGGTTACTGCCAAGTTGTTTATATTTTGATAATGGAAGTTAAGCAGTGCATGGTTCCTTCCCAACTTTAATTGCTATGCGCCAACAAAATTTATCTTTCCTGAATGTCACAATTTTTGTCAATATCATCATAGATTAGTCTCATACTTACCACTACAGTTTTGCCTTGGATTCTAATGCCAATTTATGGATTTTAGTTTAATTGCTTTATCTCAGAATTTTTATCTGTTGGAATGAATTACACCCAAAGAATTAGCCTTATCCAATTGGCACCCTTATTAAATACACAGTTCCTTTGCCACACGATCTACTTACATGTAACTTCACAAGCTGTTTTCAATTATTGTTACCTTTGGCTTGGCTTTTTTTTTTGACCTGTATGTTTAAACAGTCTATACATTTGGATATGCCCTTATTTAAGAGTGACTCACAAAACAGTGCATTACAACACCATGACCTTGTTTTTTCTCACAAAATACTTTGTAGTGTTATTGATGCCGGATAGCTGTGATTTAAAGGGAATGGAAATCAGAAAAGCGGATTGCAGGCAGTTGGACATCTACTAGTACTTATGGATGCTTCCATGCTGATACTTTACTGTGTCACTAGTCCAGGCAGATTTCTCCTAGGAGTGTGCAGCTTCCACAGACATCTGACAGAGCCAGCCTCGTTTTCTTCTCCCCTCCCTGTGATGGAGTGCAGTGAACTGCCTGTGATTTGAAAGCCAGACTGTGTTGGTCGTGACTAAGCTCTTTCTACCCACATTTTTTTTTTTTTTTGGAGCATGTCCTAAGGCAACCAATCCTGTGGGAGAATTGACAACTAATTGGCTGCAGACAAATCCATTCCTGACCAGGCTAGGGCAGTGCAAAACCTTCTGTCTTAACTTGTTTGAATTATTCTCCCACGAATTAGATTGGGGGACGGGGAGAGGTGGAGAGGGGTCGCTCATATATTTCCCATCCCCAACACCTGAGTCTCTAAGGACATTTCCACATGAGGATCAAAAATAAAAAGAAATATGAAGAATTGAGGGATCTTGGTTTTGTCTGATTTCGATTTCCCGACATCTTGTAATATTGTACATTTTTAATGTTCATTACAAAACTTTTCATGTTTTTGAACAGATATTTTGTAGAGCTTCCCCTTTTCAGGCCCAGCTATATAGGGACTTGGCATTAATGCTCCGAGGAACTACTACTCCATGTAACCTAGGAGACTTCGTGAATCTTTAAGTTCTATAAGATAATATGTATATATGTATATATACTAGTAATACATGCATATTATATACACACATACAAACACAAATATACAGATATTTGAAGAAAGATAGACACATATCTGAACTAATAGCGATAGGCATAGGGATTTAAATAAGAATAGCATTTATATAACACATTTCTACAAAATACATTTAGTCTTAATAGCACAAAATTTGATCATAGTGATTTTTATATATTTTGAAGTACCAGACCTACTTTAACAAGAATGGCATCTCACTCTTTTACACATTTTGAAATATCAGCATGTATTTCATATAATAAACTTATATACATTTAGATACATTCCTATGTGAGTCATTCAAGTGAGAATATAAGCTGAGGAAAAATTAGGAACTAAAGCATAGACTACCCTCTTTTCGCAGAATTAAGTGTTATCCTGTACTTTTACTCAGAATGCTTTCTGATTTCAAAATATGCTTGGCGTGCAAGTTTGTTCTCACATATTCACAATTATCATTAAAACAACAGCAAGCAAGCAAACAAACAAAATCCTGGCCCTAGCCAGTGTGGCTCAGTTGGTGGAAGCATCATCCTATATACAGAAATGTTGAGGAGTTGATTCCCAGTCAGGGCATATATCTAGATTGTGGGTTCTATGCCCCATTGGAGCATATACAGAAGGCAACCAATTGATGTTCTCTCTCACATTGATGTTTCTCTCTCGCTCCTCTCTCTCTCTCTCTCTCTCTCTCTCCCTCTCCCTCTCCCTCTCCCTCTCTCCTCTTTTCCCTTCCACCCTCCCTTAAATCCTCCCTCTCCAAAGAGGATTAAAAAAAAAAACCTGGAGCAAATATCCATTTTGTAATTTTCAAATCTAAAGCATGGCTGGATCAAGCTTCATATTTCCCTGTTAGTTTAATTTAGATGGATGGTTCTGACATGTCCACTAGGCTCTAAGATTCTGAAAGAAGAAACAGCTGGAAAGTGGGAGTAATTAGCCTTATAAGCAAATAATTCCAAAACTGCTCTGTTGTATTAATGTATCTAGGTCACATTTCATTAGAGCTAAATATATCATGTATACCAGCTCAGATAAACTCTGCACATTACATTCTTCAAATGAACTAACTGTTTATAAAGTAACTTTACAAATCCTTGTCCAACTTACAAATCAAATATATAATGCATTCAGGATATCTTGGTAGTTTCTAAGTTTTTAAAATCTACTTACATCAAATACATATACAGAGATAATGCTTTTGCCTTCCTTTTCTGAAATTATAGATATAATTTATTTCCAGGTTATTCAATTGCTTCCTAAAACAATAACAATTTTCATAATACAAGCCACAAGCTCTCTCATTGGAGAATCCTATATAATAAAAGCCTAATATTCTAAGTGTCCAGTTGGCCATTCAACCAATCAAAGCAAAATATGCTAATGATATGCTAAGGCCACTCAATCGCTTGCTATGACCTTCACTGACCACCAGGGGGAAGACAGTCAGCTGGTTGACCAGTCGCTATGACATGCACTGACCACCAGGGGGGCAGATGCTCTGACCAGTAGATTAGCTTGCTGCTGGGGTCTGGCTGATTGGGACTGAGTGAGATGGGCTGAACATGCCCTGGAGCCCTCCCGAGGTCCCTCCTCAGCTGGCCAACCTCCTGTGTCCCTCCCTGGTCCCAATCATGCATCGGTGGGGTCCCTCGGCCTGGTCTGTGCCCTCTCACAATCCAGGACCCCTCGGGGGATGTCAGAGAGCTGGTTTCGGCCTGATCCCACAGGCCAGGCCAAGGGACCCCACTGGTGCACAAATTCGTGCACTGGGTCTCTAGTTAGCTATAAATTTCATTTAAGGATAAGCTTCTCTATGATTGGTGGCTCTTTTACCAGTGAGGCAGGCAGCTTAAATAATAATTATAGCAATGAAAATAATAAAAGCAGACCTATAGTCTTCTTTTGTATAGTAACACAGATCCCATTCCAAATACCTTTTGTATATTCATTTCAATTTCACAAGTAAGAGTTAGATTATTATTCCCATTTCACTGATGAGAAACTTGAGGCACGGGAAGCTTCATCAGGCGCACAGTCTTCCAATGGTATAGCCAGGAGTAGAGCCCAAGCAGTATGACTCCACAGTTTCCGTGCTTAACTACACACTGTATCATGATAGCCAAACATCTGGCTTCTTATGTGTAGCCTCACCATCGATGTTCTGGACAAAATATTGGTGTTTTCAGGATAGTATGAATCTGTTAGTAACAGCAGTGTATTCATTCAACTAGTCTTATTGACTATTTTTATAGATAAATCTGTTAGGTGCCATTCTGGATATAATGATGATTAGGGCACGTTCCCTACCCTCAACGAGCTTACAGCAATTTGGAAAGGCATAAAATAACCTACATTACTAATTTCAAACAAATGAAGACGAAGGCCAATATGTGCTCTAAAAAAGTTGTTTTCAGAGCAATACTACCTTTACTAAGTAGTAATATGCAGGTTAAGGAGAAAATAGCAATATAGAGAGCTTTTACTTGAATTAATAATTTTCAAATCTAGTTATTACCATATAACACTAAGTGGCTTATTATTAAGAACATGATTAAGTAGTTTCTGTGGCACAAAGAGCCACTTAAGCTCCTAGGACCAAGAAATGGTTATGTTCAGAATGAAAAATAAATCTATCTTGTATGGATAGTTTTTAAAATTATAACACTTCATCATACAAAATTATGCAGAAGAATCCAATAATAGTTACAAAATCAGAAGATAGAGGGAGTCCAGAATCTGATTTGGGTCCATATATGTACTTCTCAGGTGGCATAGGATTGGTTCCCACTGGAGGATTATTCTAAGAGCATTATTTTTAGCACCAAAGCTCTTCTAGCCTGAGTGGAAGACAGGGTATGTGTATTGTGAAGACAAAAACGAAAAATGTAATCAGGCCATGAGTATTTCATGAGCAGTCAGAGAGACATGAAAGAGAAAATAGAAACCAATTATTTCTAAGAAAATGTGAATAATTATGGCAAATTAATTATGTATCGATATCAAATGATTTTAAATAATAATATGTAGATCATGTATCCTTGCTAGAGACCTTTTAGTATTTGTCGGAGTAACTTGCTCATAGATTTACAATAAATAATTGCAGGTTTCTTTGTAGAGTTGAACACTTTGGAATACAAATTGGAAGCCTTGATACCAGAGTCAAAAATGCCGTGACCTTGGGCAGGCTCAATGATAATATACTGGTAACCCCAAGCTCTGTCTGTAACAGCTCTGTCTGTACATCGACACTATCTTTCCTCAAAAGATATCTTTTCTAGTGTTCTCTATCTTACCACCATCCCCCACCAAAATCCTGCAACTGGGAGTCATTCTAAAATATTTTCC